TTTCCATTCCTAATATATTGGTTAGGCTGCCTAGATGATGGAAGTTGGAGTCCATCCTATATGTAGAGGTCCACATGTTCCCTATCCTAGTCTTAATATTTGTCTGGAAACGAGGAGGAAAGGGGCCTAACCCAATCCAAACCAACCGTTCAGGAAGTCTTCAAAGACACTTCTCCAGGTTCCCTCATTTTTTGGGAAATTAATCACTCCTGCAAGGACTTCTCTGTAGCTGCTGCAGATAAGAGATGTTTTGTTCCTACTCCTTGAATTTTTATGTGTTTGTGTCAGGGCCATCTGTTTGCAAAGGTTTCTCTTTAGTCTGATTGTAGGTTTTATGAACGACATATTGTCGAGTTTGCTTTTTCACATCTGGGAAAACCAGTAATCACAGGTTTTAAAATTATAATTTTTAGAAAGTTTTAAAAGTGAAATACACCAAAAAGCTGGTGGATAATCTAAAAATAGATTATACATACTTTTGCTAATCCTCCCTATAGTTCATTTCATGTATCTAACCCAAAGAAGAGAACTTTGCCTCATAGGCCTGATTAGTTACTGGTAAATGTCCTGCCTCTATGATTGAAAGACACAAAGGGCTTCTTTATCCCATCTTGACCAAGAAAATTGCCAGCTGGAATCAGTAGGAGAATTGAGTTTTGGTCATCTGTTGATAACAGAATAGAATGCTTTCTAATTTGCTGCCATGTATCTCATAATAAGGAAGTTAGCTTTGCAATCATGTTTTGTTTGTTTTCTAGTCTTATCTGGGCTATCTGACGCTGGTGTTGTGCACTGCCCATACACTGGTCTACGGTGGGAAGAGGTTCCTGAATGCTGGCACCTACCCATGGTGCCTTCCTTCCGTTTACATCCTCTCCCTCATTATCCCCTGCATTGTGTTGGCCATGAAGTTTTTCCTCATATTTCCATGTATCGATCGGCCGTTAACTGATATTCGACAGGGCTGGGAAAGAACACCCAAAGGCATAAGCCAGACAAACAGCAGCCACTGCAGGTCAGCTGTATAAGCTCTTAGCAAATGTAGTTTCAACACACATATCTGCAATAGCAAAAAAGAAAAGCGAAAGCAATTTATACGCATCGAAAATAAGCTCAAAAATTATGTGTTCCATTATTACTCTGCAATGTAAGGCCCAGCAACTCTCAGCAGCAACTGGTCAATATTCATCTAAGGTGTTTGGAGGACGAGTGCACCTTCCTTTTCTGGATTTGAGACTGAAGGAAACCATTATCGTCTTTGCCCTATCTCCTCTGTGTAAGAGGAGCCCAACATGCAGTGGGCCACATCTGAGAATATGAATTACACTGATGATGAATAAGTTTATGGCAGCACTCCCAAACCAGATTCCCTTCAGATGTTTTGCACTAGTTCCCATCAACCCTGATGACTGATCAGTTCAGAACATTTGGAGGACAGTAAGTTAGGAAAGGCTGGTCTATAGACAAAGCAATAATAAATTTGAAACTATGGCTTTTGGTCTTACTCTGTGCCTTTTCAGATTTATGTTCTCTTTCAAATTTGAGCAGCACTTTAAAGGTTCCTAAATTGACTATGCTTTCCTAGGCCATGTATACTGTGTACACACCTGCAATTTCCTCTCATTGTGATGGAAAGTGTTCATGACTTTGTGGAGAATGTGTTGATAGTCAAACACAATGGATCCCCCCCCCCAATAAATTCATGGTCAATGGACTTTGTGGTTTTGGACTGGATTTGAATTGGAATTTTAAATTCATTTTTGCTACGATCCAACAAAATTGTTTAATTATAGTGTTTCCCTGCATATGCCTATGAATAAGGTTATGATTAAGCTACACTTACAAGCTTAATCAATAACAGGCAACTGCTTTTATTCAAGCTTCTTGGGCTCCGTCCGATACTGCCTACTGCTGTATAATATGTATTGTATTTTTTTACCATTTTTAATAATATTCAGTAAAACAAATGCCTTGTTTTCCACACAAAAATCACTAACCGTGGTCAGCATACCATAAACAGATCCTACTCATAAACCTCTATGTAGAAACTTTGCTCGCCAACATTTATATTCTGTATATCCTGATAATCATAATAAAGAAAGTTTTAAGAACAAAGTCTCTTTGCTGCACCTACAAGTGTGGTCACGGGTGGTCGCGGATCAGATCCAGGTGCTCGTAGAGGAAACTGATTTTCCAGATCAGGGCGACCCATACCAAGTGGGCCGCAAGAGTACTTGTTTGCAAATACTCATAGACCAGGGGTGGGGTACCTGCTGCTGTATGGACTCCGGCTTCCATTAGCCCCAGTTAGTGTAGCCAAGATCAGGAATGATGAGACCTACTAATCTCCCATAAAGGTAAAGGGGCCCCTGACCATTAGGTCCAGTCGTGACCGACTCTGGGGTTGCGGCGCTCATCTCGCTTTATTGGCCAAGGGAGCTGGCATACAGCTTCCGGGTCATGTGGCCAGCATGACTAAGCCGCTTCTGGCGAACCAGAGCAGCACACGGTAACACCGTTTACCTTCCTGCTGGAGCAGTACCTATTTATCTACTTGCACTTTGACGTGCTTTCGAACTGCTAGGTTGGCAGGAGCAGGGACCGAGCAACAGGAGATCACCCCGTCGCGGGGATTCGAACCGCCAACCTTCTGATCAGCAAGTCCTAGGCTCTGTGGTTTAACCCACAGCGCCACCCGCGTCCCTTACTGATCTCCCATGCCTGATGTCAATTCCATATTTAGTACATGTTGGCATTTGCTTCTCTTTTTACAAAAGCGAACTTGCAGTGCCCCTTTGCCACTTTCCCCTGTTAAAAAAGAGAATCTAATTCAGAATTCTTTGACTAAAAAGGCAAATACTGGAGCGACTGTCTGCCACAGAGAGCAAAACTACAATCCTCCTGTAGCCGATGTTTCTTGAGCTCCTACAATGAGGACATTGACTTGGAGAATATTGTTCTTGCCATTGAAGTGACATGACTCTCAGCCGCCATGCAGAGAGACATGTCTAGCACAATGGGTTTAATTGAATGTAAAGAGCTGTGAGTGGCTGGAGGTAATGCTTCCAAGACTGTTGGTACAGTTGATTGTCAGGAGCTGCAGAAGGCGTTGACATGGGCCGAGTTGTGAAGCTTTACATTGGCTGGGGTTTGGTTGGCGCGAGACAAATCCAAGGAAGCCCTATGCCAATCTGCTTAATATGATTGGAGGTTATGGACCTGTCAGTCTTGATGAGATGTACCCCCTTATCAGCCACCACTGTAAAGCACAGTGCGGGGGGTGGGGCGTTGAATCTTAACTGAATTATCCTATTACATTCCACAAGTGGGTCCTACAACAAAATGTTGCAATGTGGAGCATTGGCAAGGAAGGCAAGTATGGGGGGTGCACCCTGCCCCGGGTGTCAGCCATGAGGAGGGGTGACATCGCCACATGCCCCCCCCCTCACCATGCGGGCAGCAGGCAGCTAGGGGCGCTCACCGTGCGGGAGGCTAGTGGTGCCCCCCCATGCTCACCTAGCGGACAGTGGGCGGCTAGGAACATTCACTATGCGGGTGGCTGGTGGTGCCCCTCCAACGCTCACCATGTGGCTAGGAATACTCGCCGTGTGGGCAGCTAGCCCCGCTGCTGCGCCACTCCGGGTGCCAGGGCAGGTTGCTCCACCCCTGATGTGGAGTGCTTCTATTCAGGGTGACGGTCAGTCATGCCCTCATCAAAATGGCTCAAGCAATTCAGCAAACAGCAAAATACAGTTTTCATACTTTTTGAACTTAATTGCCTGTAGGGATTGATTCTGAGGCTTAAGTGCAGGCAAAAAAAGATCATGGCTGCAACATCAGGTAACTGACAGGTGGCTTTTTCCTTCCATCTTGTTCACTTCTCAGCCATAGGCGCCGACTCCATGGGGCTTGAGGGGGCCCGAGCCCCCTCAAAAATTCGTTTGGGGGGGCTCTGCCCCCCCAATAATCTCCGGCGCCCCTCCAGCAGAGCGCCATCGCCGCCCCTCCCCCAGCCCAAAATGCACAGGGAGGGGCGGGCTGCATGCCTCCTGCCCTCCCTCCTGAGCAAAAGCTCCACCCAATTTCCTTTGGAGCTGATTAATAGGCGCAGCACGCTCTCCCCTATTCGCTCACGAGGAGGCGGCGCCACTTTATTTGCATATTCATGAGCTTATTTATTATTCATGAGCTTTCCCGGGCCCCCCCCAATATTTTTTATAAGTCCGCGTCCCTGTTCTCAGCAGCCCTGTGTTATGCTTCATGACCCAAGCTTTGCAAGAAACTCAGATTCGTTACTGAAGAGACAATTTGCAGAGCATTGGAAAGGTTAATGGGGTGAGGAAGATAACACACTCATTAGCAGACAGACATTTTTGTGTGAAGGTGAAGAAAAGGTAAAGAAAAATCAGCTTGACAGTTCCATTCCTTAGAGCAACCTTCACCAATCTTGTGCCTTCCAGATGCTTTGAACTACAATTGGCTATGCTGTGTCAAACAACATCTGGAAGACACCAGTTTGAGGTTACAGGAAATTTCTTTTCCCCTGTTCTACAGTTAGCTTTACCTCCCAATTGTTCTAGAGGTGAACTACTGAAAAGGCTCAGAGAATTGGAGTCCCTATTTAAAAACAAAATAGGCCAAATATTTATATGTGAGTAAATTTTATATATAAAATAATCCACCAACCAACTGCAACAGGCCACTCTGTTAAAGGTGATGCCAAGAAGATTGCACCAATTAGTTTTTCATATTTTTTTGGTATTATGAAATGGCTGAATGTGCAACTTACATTTCAATAGGTATTTATGTACTGTGCTAATATGTTAGCAACTAGTTGAAGGATAAAGAACACATCTCTTGCTGTCAGGAGAAAGAGGCAACTCCTCACACTGCCACCCTCCAAAAACAAAACAAAAACACCCTTCAAGAGCCACAGTAATAATTTGAAATCACCAAATTATTCAAAAAAAAAATTAAGCACACACAAGAGGACACCATAATCATATTAAACTGAGTCATATTTACTGAATGTTATAATACATGAGTAAAGGTAGAAATTAGTCATTTTGTCTTAAATATGCTCATAGTAATGTTACTATGGAAAAAGTGTGTGCTAGCTTCATGAATTTTGATGCTTATGTAAGTTAAGTTGCATTCAAAGCTGTAGTTATTAAGGTTCTGCATTATCATTTGTCAAAATTTCAGCAGGAGAAGGATTGAGACAGTTCCAAACAGTAAAACAATTACAAAATGCCATATGGTTCAGCCTCCAATAGTGAATACAGTGCTTGTTTTTACCATATCCACAAGACAAACACGCTACTGCAAAAAAAATCAGCCATTGGATATATAGTACAACAAAGACATTGTAATAGAAAACATTTGCAGCAGTAGATTTAAGATGTCACAAATAATAACTGCTACTTGAAAAACATTGCAATAATTCTAATAAAAATTGGCCACCCAAAGTTAAGGGTGTGTGTGTGTTTAAATTCCACGGATAATTAATGGCACTAAAAGCATATTTACATTACGCTCGGATTGTGGCTAGTACGTAAATAATACAGTGGTATCTTGTTGCTCAAAGATTGTGCAAAGGTTTACAGTTTAATATGCACCACACTGTGTGCCCTAGCGAATACTACACAGATTCTCAACACAGGCAATCAGCAGGAATTATTAGACCAATATACTTCGTATCTTTGTATTTACAGACTTGCTACTGTATATTTTATAGTTAACAACTAGCACCACTATATTCAAAGGGCAGTTAAGCAAGTGCTTCTAAACTGGTTGTAAAAATATACTTTGCAAAAATTGAATATGTAAGGTCTTAAGGCCTCTCAGGCTTAAAAAATAATAATTGTGTCCACTGTAAAACAGGCAGGATTTTGTCTTTTGTTTGCATGCATCTCAAAGGAGAATCGGTAGACAACCTTGCGGTTCCTGGGAGGGAATCTGAGAAGGCTGTAGGATCCTCTCTCTTTATGGGTAGAGAGGCAGGTATGCCCTTGGAATCCCAGCCACCATGGAAAGGACCTCTGCCATTGCCTCGCTGTTGTCACTGCTCCAGAGGAGAGGACAAAAGGAGAGCATATCAGAGTAGATTTCCCATTTGCCCAGGAGTCAGTGTGCTTCTTTTCCTCCAGCTTCTGCCTAGCTGGTGTAAAACCAGTAGGGTTCAGAAAATGGTGGCTTTACTGCCAGAGATTCTCTCCATCCCCTCACTGAATTGCTCTGCTCAAGTCTATTGGCAGGATTCAGACTGTGCCATCTTCTACCACCCTGATTGTCAAACTGACATGGTGTATCCTACCATTGCACCATCCCTTATCAGCTTATTCCAGTTGGTTTATTCCACTTTCATTTTTCCATGGTTCTAAATTTCCTGTAGCTACAGCAGTTAGCACAGCTATTTCTGTTAGAAGATCAAGCCTCTAGCGTGTGGGTTTTTGCTTTGTTTTTAAGCTGCGTTGCCTATCCCTAGTAACTTCCACACACAAAAACCCAGTTGTATCCAATGTTAGTCCTATTCAGAGTAAACCCATTGGAAATTAATGTGCATGTCTTAAGAACCATTACATTCACTGAGTCTACTTTAAATAGAACTAAGTTGGATTCCACCCATAATACTACTTTATTAATAAATCATACTGCAACTAAAATATACCTATATATGTTAGAAGAAAAATTGTTGTAAAATATTTCTTGTTTTCAAAGTTAAGAAAATGCTATTACTATGTTCTGAGTTTAAGTTGTTTTTTTTAAAACATAGGCTGGTTGCTGTGGCCCAGCTGAAAAGCACTGGTTGACCCTTTCCTTGGATTTTAGCTCTCCAGTTGGTCTTGAAAATGGCACCAAGCATGGTACTATTGCTGTGTTTACATTGGCAGTCTAAGGTAGCATGCCTCTACTCACCTGGGAGTTGGCCAAGTACTTCTAAGTGAGCATACATAGACTTGCTCTGTATTATTGTTGTTTATTGAATTTATATACTGCCCTATACCCGGGGGTCTCGGGGGGTTCTGTAGAGGTTGTAACATGGAGGCATCTACCAGAGTTGCTTCTGACACAATTTCTCTACAAGGTTGGGGAACCTGTGGCCCTTCTTATGATGTTGAACTGCAGCTTCCAGCATTCCTGACCATTCTGACTGAGGATGATAGGAGTTGAAGTCCAGCAACACCTGAAGAGCCACAGGCTCCAGAAGTCTCCTGTGGAACTGAAACATCTTTTCCATACTGTACGCCTGCATGTAAGGGGGGGATGGGGGAAGACACGGTTCTCTAAATTTTGCTGGGACTGCAGCCTCCATCATCTCTGTCATGCTGTTTGGGGCTGGTAGGAGCTGGGAATCCAACAACAACAGGAAGGCCACATGTTCCCCTGAAGTGAGGAATTACAGTGCTTACATGGTTTCTCTGCAGGTCAAACATACATACAGCCCTATAAAACCGCTCTCAGCACAGCTGGAGATGCATGGCTTATCTTTCACAAAGAGGCATCACATGAATAGGTGCTGTAGTGGTATTATTACACACAGAACAACAACTCATTAAACATTTCTCTGAAGGACAACCATGGAACTGTCAAAGATTGCAGCAAGAGGAGTCAAATTTTTAGTAGAGTAACATGGAACACTGTCCCAAATGCCACTATAGATCCTGCTTAAAAGCTGCTCTGTAGACTGTTTCACATTTGCACATCTGGCTATTTCAAGCTCTGATGCTATTAAAAAGCAGTTTTTATGTTCCCCTGGACACGAGATGAGCTCTTTTAAACTCAGTTGGAGCTGAGTGGGATGAAAAGGCATGTTGTCATTATTTCATTTTGTGCCAGAGCTCAAAGCTCATTATAAAACATTAATCCAAATGCAAGAAATAAAATAAAATTAGCTATAACCCTCAAGAAGCACACAATACTGAAAATATTGGAAGCCATGTTGAATAGACCAAACTAATTTCTTCAGAACTTATTTGTGTTTAAGGAAAGCTTTCAGACTCCAAATTAAGCAATGAACTCCCTCGCCTCTTCCTCCACACACACCAGATAATCTTACTTGAAAATGAAGACATTTGAGTGAAAATGAATGATCAGCAGTGTAATCATGGTAGGAAAGGGGAAATAGTGATTGTTCCCTCACCCCCACTCCCCCAAAAACACCACAAAACTGTCATGGATTCCTTACATTAATTCCTGTGAACCCACCAACAGAAGTGGATTTTTACACAACAGACAAAAAGTAGCCATTTCAAGTTCGCAAACTATAGCTACTTCTAATGTTTTCACTCACTACCTTATGATGCCAGATTCAGACAACTCAACAAAGTGTTAGACTCCACCACTTATTTTCACATACCTAAAATAAACCCTAAGCCATCAGGTGTGGACTAACATTTCAGCAACACTCTGGAATGAAATTTATTCTCACTTACCTTCATACTGCTGTTGCCTTGCTGCATGTTTACAGAAGAAACACACTTTTTAAAAAACCCAAGTTGGGTTGGCCTGGGCCTGATTTCAGGCTTGGTAATTCAGTTGCCAATCAAATGCAGCTGTGACAGGTCAGGTGACTTGTGCTGAACTAATTACAGCTGCAAACTATAGGAAGAGTCTGTTCTGAGGCCTACCAGGTCCACTCCCATTCTTTGCCTTTTAGCTGCCCATTTCCTTCCTATATAAAAGCTTTGCATACTACCATTTGTGGTTCCTGACAGATATTACTGATTTCTTAAATCACCCCCCATCCATTGCCTTCATTTTGCCCATTTCATTGCTGCGTAAAGGCTTTGCAAACTATTGTTATTCCTATCATGAGCCACATTGAGCAACTTGTCTCAGGCAGTAGATTGACAGGGGTGGCCAAATGCATGTTCCATGCCACCCTTGTGCTGCCGAGTCGTGGAGCATCACTTTGGGTTCCTTTCTCTTTTGTTTGAGGTGCAGCAGCCACCACCACGCTTCAAACAAAAGAGGAAGCAAGTTGTGGCCCCTGAACAGCCGTACAAGGAACTCTGTGGCCACTGGCATTGGGAGTACCAGACCAAGCAATGGCTGTCCACAGAATGAGGCTGGACCAGCTACAAAGACTCCTTAGTCACCCCTCCAAGTCTCTCATGAGACTTAGCCACATGCTTAGTGAAGTCTCACAAGAGTTTGGGGTGGCTTCTCTGTGGCACTGCAACACCTACAGTAAATAGCAGCAAATAAGCTTTGACGGTGCCCCTAGCTACTGTTCATGGCTTGTTGCTGCGACAGTATCCTAGGGAAGCTCACAAACACCACAGTCCTTATTCCAGAGCCAGAGAACCTGAGGTCCTCCCAATGTTATTGGACTACAGCTCCTATCATCCCTGAATACTGGTTATGCTACCTGGGGCAGATGTGAGTTGGAGCTCAACACCTGGAGGATCACAAATTTATTGCCTTCTGCCTTTCTATTTTCTTTGCTGGCACAGCGGCTCATAGGAACAAGGCTGCAGAGTTGACATCCATTTCAATCACATCTTACTAAGATACCTTTTACTGGAAATCTCCACAAAAAGGAGACATGCTCATTTATCCTGAGAAGAAATAAATATTGTGGGGAACCTTCCATTGCCTCTGCCTGTGAACACAGTTCAGCAGAGGCATCTCCAGAAGTAGTCTTTATATACATATGGCTTAAAATAAAACAAACAGATGCCCTGGACCTGTCCATATGGATCAAAAGTGTGGGGATAGCTAGAAGCAGCACCTCTCTCAGAATCTTACCTCTTCTGTCTTTCAGGACTCAAAACCCATTAGTTAACCTTCTTAAGTCATCATTTCCTACTAACCAGCATTCATGACCCTTTCACACACCAAGGCAATCCAGTTTTGTGAGCTGAGAAATCCTGCACTAGACCATGGAAGTAAAAGCCAAGATTTATTAAAATTATATTTTAACTTTACATTAAGATTACTGAATGGGTGAATATTTACAAATATTAGTAATGGTCAAAACAATGGTAGGTAACAGTGTATGCCATTAACTGCAGACAAGGGTGTATTCTCAATGAATGTTCTGAAGTTGTCTCAACTAACACTACATTACATTCAGCTCTGTCTGGCAAAAAAACAAAACTTCACTCTTCCTAATAACCTGAAAATAAAAGGTGGAGGAGGATTTTTTTTAAAAAAAACAACTTAATCAGTCTTTTTAAAATGATGCTTAGGTTTGTACCAAAACAGAAAAATATCCAAAAAGGCACATGATATACATCTAAATGTTTCAGATACTGGGGATCAAAAAGCTGTGTGTGTGTGTGTGTGTATTCTCTATAATTAATATGGAGGTGGCCTTTTTATTTTAACCTTCCTTTAACCTGAGGGTAGGTTGTGTTCCAGAAGTTGCTTCAAAATCCATTGAAACCAAGGGAAAGGCAGCCAGGTTTTCAATCAAGTTTCCCCAAGTCTAATGGCACAAGATGTTAACTTAGCTTTCACCCTCCAGTCTCTGGCTGACATTATATATTTCCAAAATTATACTTTTACATATACTGTACAATCCTTTAGACATTTTCTCAGGTGGGAATTTGCTCTCTCTCTCTTTTAACTTTCCTTTCCTATTTATTACAAATCAAAATACTTACCCAACTTTATGCTTCTTATAGGGATTATTTATGACTGCAAGGCCAGTGTTGTATAAATATAACTGGCAGAGTCTTATAAATATAACACTTTAAAAGTCTTACATATTTTACAATTGGAGACATTCTTAAATGTACTTTATATTCGCATGGAACCAACATTTTCAACTAAGTGGAATTTCTTAAAATAAGTCCAGTTACATCAGGGACAGGTGAACCTGTGGCTCTCCAGATGTTGGGCTACAGGTCCCATGAACCCAACCAGCGACTAGGCTCAGTGGGGCTGATGGAATTGAGAGTCCAACAACATCTGGAGGGTTCATAGGTGCTCTATACCTGAGTTAAATGAAGGAAGGCCACACATGGCAACATATGTACCAAAGAATTGTGTGAAATAAGTATGAAATTTAGAAGCTGTTTCCATTCAAATACTGTCAAAAGATCAGTTGATGCCCTTGCCAAAGAATGCTTTAAATAGAGATTTCTCAACAGCCCATTAATTCCTTGCCATGCATGTGGGTATCACTTTATTCTGGGTTTTGCGAGGCAGTGTTTTCCGAAAATCTCTTCTCTAGTTGCTGCTAGGGAAAAAGCATGTTGGAATCACTGGGGAAAAAGGATCAGAATTAAACATCTCTGGTCCCAACATGTATATGTTGCAACTTCTGATACTAACAAAGCATCATATATAAAATCTTGCCTAATACATACCTTGAGAGCTACAATACACACCACAGACCTATAATAAGGTGCTTATTCATTTTTATCATTTTACCTCACAGTTATTTTGGAATGCAATTAAGAGTACGGGAACACACTGACTGGAACATATTGTTAATTTAAAAAAAATACACAAAAAACATTATTTTGCAAATGCCTTTGAAGATTCCTCTCCCTTTCCTTTTTACGTATGACCATCTTATCACCTGCAATGTTACATCACAGAATGGGGAACCTGTGTCCTTCCAGATATTGCTAGACTACAATTCCCATCATTCCGGGTGATTAGCCATGCTGGCAGAGGCTGAAGAGAATTGGAGTCCCAACATCTGGAGGGCCACAAATTTATTCCCCATCCCTGTGCTTAGTAAATCAGGATAACGGCTCCTATATAAGAATCTATACTGGCAATATTGTGTAACCTTCACAAGATTCCCTATATTTGATTTTTTATTAAAAAAAAAACCACACAACTTTGCAAAATCTTTCATAATGAACTCAGTTCAGGAACATCGATGAATGTATATAGCCAATAACAACATAGCATACCGATAGTGCATAGTGCACAGTGTAGGAACAGAGATTCCTCCATACATGTATTATGCAACTCCATGTAGATGAATGGCCGATGGGAACTTAATCAAAGCGTTCAGTTAATGGCTCTTATTTGGCCAAGAAGTGCATTATTTACATAGTATTATATCAGCACATAGGATAAATTGGTGAAGCCAAATAACTTAGGAGTTCTCGATAGCTGAACTTCAGAAAAAAATGTAATATATACAGCAAATGTGCCATTCTGACCACCATCACATTCACTGTTGTGGTCCCTGATTGTGTCACCATTGTTTTTTGTAAGTGCTCTGTTAAAGTCCCATTGATTTCATTGGGAAGGAGAATAACATGTCTTGCAGTGAACCACTATTTTCTGTGGCTCCAGGAAGGCGTTCTAGACCCTTCAGGTTAGCACCTGAGCTTTGGCATAGCAGCTACAGAGGGGCGGTTTTTGAGGGGGAAACAGCACAGTTGGGGAAAAGACTGAAAAATCCTTCCCCAACACTACAGAACCATCCCTCCCCCTTGCAGCTGCTATTAGATTTAATATATATATATTGGAAGCTGTCTTATTTTGAGTCAGACCCCTGGTCCATCTAGCTCAGTGTTGTCTACGATGACTGAAAGCCATTTTCCAAGGACGACTTTTCCAGTCCTGCTTGGAGACGATTCTGATTGAACCTGGAACCTTTTTCATGCAAACCATGTGCTCTTCCATTGACCTATGGTCCTCCTTCCATGCCACTCCTACTTTGGCCCTTAAGATTCTTTGACATGTAATGTTCACTCGTGAGTGTTCTTCAGGCAAAACAAGAAAACCCCACATTATATAATTGCATTGTTGGTATTTTACAACTTTTTACACACGTATGAGTTTCTACTTAGAATATAATCACAAAAAGTAATAAAAATTTAAAAAGCAATGTTTTTTTGTTGTTGGCTGCTTATGTCATAATGTTTGCCTCTTCAGATCCCACTTGCGGAAAAAACATTTCTTACTTCTGCATGCTAGTTTTACTAAAGTATAATGACTAGTCCCTTACACATGGAAGGTGGTGAACGGAGGAATTCATGCACACAGCATAAATGTTTACATATCAAATTCTGAATTCTTTTTGTTTTTGTTTGTTTGTTTAAAGTTATTTGGGATTATGTTAGACCAGAGAAAAACCCACATTTGAGACTCCCAATTAGTTTCATTTGCGCATCTACATATTATCTGTCATCATGCGGAATACTCTTTTATATTTTCAGTTCCATGTATCCCAGGTAAATGTGGTATGTATATGGTTTGGTTGCTCTTTACTTGTAATTAAAATCCTAATCTGCTGCAGAAAATTGCCTTTTCCTTCTTCAGGGAACTTGTTCGCTCCATGCTGGTCAGCATCTCTGCCCTTCAAATTGTCCACTTAGCAGATGAATGTTCAGCGACTCAGCAATGCTGAGTTTGTATAAAATCTGAAGTAAACAGTTCTGGTATCAGCTCAGGTAGACAGTGGAACTAAATGGAAGTCTCCCATAGCTGTAAGAGGACAAAGAAAAGAGAAATATCCATTATTGCTGTTCCTGTTATACTACTATTCCTGCATTACATGACTCTTGGGATCCCTTCTAACTCTATAATTCCATGATTCTACAGTTTCTATATTCCATGTTTTAACTATGCAATGGAAACTTCTGTTGACTGAGCGAAAGCAGTTACTGTGGCTCAATGGACAGAGAGCCAAGTTGACATACCAACCAGACCATTGATGGATAAACAGTTGGCTCCTCCAAGATGAGACCAGTACAAACAACAGTGAAAGACAAAATGGTGTTTGTCTGCATCTAGCTTAAGTGTTAAGTACGCAGCAGATCCAAGGAAGAAGTGAGGCTTACCCTGGCACTTGCTCTGTTGGCCTTTTTCTCCTCATCAGGAAGTGGAGGCATTGGGTATGGGTATTTTCTGCTGGAGGCAATGGAGCCAGTAGATGACGAAGGGGACTTTGCAGGGGAAAGGGTCCTGAGGTGTTGAATAGACAAAAATAAACAGAATGTCTAGGGATACCAGCCTTGCTACAGAAACTGGAACTACTTTGAAGCTATGCTGGGAATTTGATTCAATCACTCTGCCACACATAGTTGGAAAAGAAGCCAAAGGCTTCCAAGCTACTATAGCTTAGGAAACAGTTCAGTAGGACCAACTCCTGTGCAAATCTTGAGCAATTCTAATTCATATTAATGGAGACTTTGCAAGAGTTGTTCTCAAGGGACTGCACTTTTTGACAGCAACTAAGCTAGTCCTCACCCATCTTCAGATGTTTTGGACTATGATTCCCATCAGCCTTACTCAGAATGGCTGGGCTGGCTGGGGCTGATGGGAGTTGTAGTCCAAAACATCAGATTGGCAAAGGCCGAACTACATACTATGAACCAGACTTCTTATCATTTTATGCATCAAATGATAAAAAAATAAGCTATTTATAAAATTGGGAATATGATTTATTATGAAGCAGATTTAGGGTAGCATGCTGAATAAGAGACAGAGCTATAAATGCTCTCCCCTCAGCCTAAGTGGCTTCAGGGAAGCCACAACTTAAGTCTGTCACCTGGAATTTTGGAGATAACGATACTGGTCTGTCTTATCAAATTGTTATAGGGATTACTGAGGTAATATATGTGAAGCTTTCATTATTATTTAACTAAAAATTATTCCTTTATATCACATTGTATCTATGCCTTCATCTGCATTATAAAAAGGTAAAGGGACCCCTGACCATTAGGTCCAGTCACAGATGACTCTGGGGTTGTGGCGCTCATCTCGCTTTATTGGCCGAGGGAGCTGGCATATAGCTTCCGGGTCATGTGGCTAGCATGACTAAGCCGCTTCTGGCGAACCACAATTCTCACAGCGGTTTAACTGCCAAACCCTCTTCCCAAGGGACTCTGGGAAAGCCAGGGCTGCTTGAAGTGGTGCAATACTGCTTTAAATGTATAATCCAAATGAGGCTTACGTACCTACTATATATATTTTGGAAAGTTGTTTGTTATGCATTTGGAAGCCTCTTAAGATACATTAGCCAAATTTTGAATGATGGTTCCTGAGATCAAGGAGCAGGTTTTCATCCATGTTTGGATACATTTGGATGCTATTTCAAATCAAGAGAGCAGATGGGTTCACTGCACTGATTTTTAGCCCCTAATCATTGTGTTTCTTAAAATTCCCAAACAAAGCTGGGTATGAGGCTGCTAGCATATACATACAAAGCATCAACATTTCTCCTTTATTCATGCATTTTTGTACTGGCTAAGAAAATGAGGAACTGGCAGAAGAACTTTTTTAAAAAGTGACTGTGTACTAAAGAGTCACCGACCGCTTATACCAGGCATAGGCAAACTCAGCCCTCCAGATGTTTTGGAACTACAATTCCCATCATCCATGACCACTGGTCCTGCTAGCTAGGGATCATGGGAGTTGTAGGCCAAAAACATCTGGAGGGCCGAGTCTGCCTATGCCTGGCTTATACTAATGCAAGTCCCACTGACAACTGTGCACCTATGTCAAGGATGAGGACATCTGGAGCGTTTCCAGATGTTGTTGAACTCCAACTCCCATCAGGCCCAGCCAGCATGACCAATGGTCAGGGATGATGGGAGTTGTACTACAACATCACCTTGAGGGCCGCAGGTTCCCCATCCTTCACCTACATTGATGTAAGTCTTCGCTGGCTCAGAGCTTAACCGCAATCTTATGCGTGACTACTCAGAACTAAGCCTCAACTGCGTTCAGTGAGGCTTACTCCCAGGCAAACATGTCCCGGGTATAGGGCTGCACATAAGTTGCTTTTTTGAAAGCAGCGCACCAGAAACATTTATTACAGTGTATGAGAACGTGTTACATTATGCAGAAGGCATGCAGTTCAGAGGCAAAAAAGGGTTAATTGTGAAGAAACAAAGGCAAATACAAAGAGCTGAACACCCAAATTAGTAGACATGCAAGCAACATCCAGTGCACAGTGGTTCCAGCCAAAGTAGGAGTCTGGTTTGGGGGTGGGGCGAGGGGTGGGGAGGATAGACAAAAATGGACTGATTAGTCAGAGAAATCAGCATTTCTGTACAAGGTAAGGAAAGCACTAGCAAGTCAATGTCGGCATCACACGGAAGGGCATTCTTGTCCGAGTCAATAAGGCGTCTGCACTTTATTGACTAGAGTTATACACACAAGGGCATGGACAACTAAAGTGTCTTAAGAATCAATTCCGGAATCAAGACAGACCAAGGAAGCTCTGTATCTGGGTCATGTGCAAGAAAACATAAAAGTCAGAAGCACAGCTGGTCTCAGATGTTCCGGTACCCTGACGAAATGCTAGACTCACTCACCGCCCCGACCCCAGTCCTGTGCTCATGGCAGCCCTTTCCTCACGCTCCATCCTGGGTCCCTCTGGCTTGCTGAACTCAAGAAAGGATGTTTTAAAAAATCCCTAATCACATGGCTGTGCCAGCAGCCTCCTTAGATCCCTTATGCCTCCCTCGCCTCCATGCATCTCAGACCATGTTTATCTACTTTCCACACCAAACACCATAGTTGCCCCCACATTTCTTCAGATATCATCTACATATTTCAGGAAGCCTTTAATGTCTGGTGTATTGTGTTCTTTTATACTCTGTTGGAAGCCACCCAGAGTGGCTGAGGCAACCCAGTCAGATGGGTGGGGTACAAATAAAAAACACACATTATTACTATTATTATTTTCTGCCTCTATGGTTAATGTGAAGTGTGTGCCTTGCCCAACGGGCACTGCCTACTTATTCATCAGAAGTGGATTTAGGAAGCATGTGATCTGCCCTAACGATGTGTGTAGAACGTATAGGTGTTACCCAGAGGATCTTGGGAGCATCCAAAGAGTTTCAAGCTCAGATACAAGCGGAAGCAGGGCCGTCTTACCCATAGGCCCTAGGGTTGCGGAGCACCCGGGCACCGGGCTCTCAGGGGCACCAGGCCGAGAGTCTGGGCCCCAAGAGATGAGTCCAGGGAAGAGCCCGCCTACCGCTCCGCTCTCCTTCGTGCCTGGGACTGGGCAACCTGGAGGGGAGGGCGCGCGGATCTTTGCACCCCAGCACCACGTATGAATGCCCTGAATGCAAGTCCCTCCTCTGTGCATACTTTAAGAGTATATTCAGGAATACATTTTCAAAATCCAAACCACAATCTGAAATAAGTACATTTCCTGATGAAACTGCAGGTGCCCTTCTTGGACATCATCACAGAAGGAAAACAGAGAAGCCTGATAAACTTTGCTCTTTAAATACATCAAGCTTTCTAACAGCTTGCTATTCTTATTTTGACAAGAGCATTGGTGTTTTGTGCCCCACTGCTGTTTCTGTGATACGAAAAGGAAGCTCAACAATCTTCGTTCGGAAATTATGCAGTGCAGTGGTGGATTTGTCTAATGTGCCCTCTTCTGAATGCAGATGGGATGTCATCTTTTTGAATGTGCCTCCACCAAATAAGCTCTCTGTATCGGGGTGAGATACGCAGTGCTAAAGAACCCTCCCCCCGAGGTTTGCTTATTGCATGCAGGTAATCTATGCTGATGAGTTTTCAGAAATGTTACACATGGTTTGAAACACTGCAGCATGATATCTGCCCATCCCTTCCTTCTGCATCATGTGCACTTCGGCTCTAATTATTTCATGAACTTAAACTTAGCTGGAAGGGATGCCCTGACAGTCACTATGACTTATATGTGAAAAGGCTCGACTGAAAAAATATTGTGAACACAGTATATACCATAGAGCAATGACTGTACTCTGCCATGGTCAAATTAGGATAACCATGCTTGATTTCCAGAAATTCTTTGCTCATTCTGTTTGACTCCTCAAATTCATCAAGAATCCACACCGAAGTACAAAACTGGATACAATTTCCTCCTTAAAAGTCCTTATCTCTGCGCAGGAGCCAATTACTTCCTTTGTTTGCTCCCAAGAAAGTGCATGGCTACAAGTAGATAAGCAAATAAGTTATGTTATCTCTCAATATGTTCTCTTCCAAGGCAAATGCTAACTATTTCAATGACTTACTTCCAAGCATGCACATTTAGAATGGCAATCTTATGCACACGTACCTGGGAAAAGGCCCCACTGAACACAACGGGACTTCCCTCCAAGTAAGCATGCTGAGGATTATGCCTTAATCTTGATCGCTACTAAATCAATGCTGCAGAGAATTTGCCGGTTCCTTTACAACTGTATGCAAATATATTTCAAAAGGAAAACTGGTAGATACTTTCAGGAAACCACAACATCTAAAGTATTGTGTGTGGTTACAGGACTGCCTTCCCCAACCTGGTGTTCCCCAGATGCTACTAGACTCCAACTCCTATCAGCCCCAGACAGCCTGGGAGTTGGAGTCCAACAACATGGGAAGGAAAGCAGGTAAGCGTTGGCAGGAAGCACAACCCACTTTAAGTGGACCACCTATATCGGTTCTGCTCTCATACTTTCCAGAATAGAGTAGCAGATGGCAGTCCTACTAAAGCTGCCTGTCCTAAACAGGCTGGCAGCTTTGTTTTCTGCTGTTAAGTCATGGAGGTTCTCATTCAGTTTCTATAATCCTGGCAGGAAACAGTGTCATTGGCACCTCTTTATTTTCATAAGAAGCATGGGGAAAGGAGGAAAGACCCACCCCCACCCTCCAGGCCTCTTTCCTCTTGAGCACTAGTGAAGAAAATCAGGCTCTTTCAAGTGATCTAACCCTTAACGCACATGCACCCCCTGACATCCTTTCAAGAGCTTTGATGGTCTACTGGAAAGCTTGACACAGACACACACACACACCCGATTCCTACATGGTTATCCAAACACACTTCAGTGTTGTCAAAGCCAGAGCCGTCTTTCTCATAGGGCTTAGTGGTGTGTAGTGCCAGGGCACCGGCCTCTCAGGGGCACCCCAACAAGTGGGGGAGCTGCACGACTTTGCCAGTGGCCTCCCCTTTCCCTGCACGCCCGCCAGCTGTGCGGGCG